CTAGTCTGGCCTCAGGCACTTGGGGACAAAAGAGCCCTTTCATCTATTTCACAAAAAGAGAAAAATAATCCACCAGTGAAACCCTCCCAGAATCCAGCTCTGCTCTGACCATGGGACCGGGCCAACTAGATAGCATGGATTTCACAATCCACTAGGGAGCTGTGGCCCACTGTTTGAGAAACACCATTTGGGGTGTTCTGAAAGAGACAGGTCCTGGCACAGTCACAGGGCGAACATGACAGGGACTTGGGGAGCTGGGTGCTCCACCCCAGGGAGCCCTAGGAAACCGGCTGCCATGGCAACAAGTGAAGCAACTCATCCTGCTTTGATGTGGCTGGGTGACAGAGGACACCAGCCAAGGGATCAAGCCCGTGCGCCTCCTCCTCCTTCGGGACCTAGAGCGTGGCCCGCCACCTCCACTCTGGGGGAGACAGGAAACCTCATGTTGATGCTGCTGGTTCCCGCCTACCTCAGCCCTCTTGGGGCTCAGCCCAAGTGTTGACTAAATCTCCTTCCTCCACATACCCAGGGCCAGATTTGAATGAATTGACTTACCATGTTGAGCAGCAGAGAGGGCAGCGTTCATGTGCGAGTTTCTCTACAATTTCCAGAACACACAGACCTCCGTGATCACATCTCCCCAGAACACAGCCCTGCGGGGCTGGAAGGACAATTTCTACGCAAGCAAAGCTAGGCCCGGGGCAATGCAAAGCCCCTTGCCCACACTTGGAAGTCCTAATGAGTGAACCTCACAGGAAGTCCAGTGTGAGAAGGAGTCTGGGCCTCTTGGGATGACAGAGACCATGGAGAAGAGGACTGAAGAAGGAAGACGGGAGACCCGAGGCATCTGGATGGCTGTGTAGCTGAAGAGTCCTGAACATGCCCCAGACCCCCAGAAGAACGAGCCCATCCATCCTAGAAGACCTATAACCAGCAGGCTTTGTAGAAGCAGCGATGGCGGGCCTTTATCTTGCTTGCTTAGGACGTGTTATCAGGAAAGACCCGTGGCCAAGAGCCGTCATCGTGTTTGGAAAAGTAGAGGATCCAGCAAGCATGAGGGAAACCCTTCATTGTGCTGGACCGGCACAATCACTTCAACAGTGGACTCATATACTGTGCTCATGACGATGGCGTGGCCCAGGCCACATCTCTTTCTTTGTGCGTAAGGTCACTCGCTTTGTGTGTTGTAAGAGCCGGTGCCTACTTAACAGCCACGAATAGCAACCCCCAATAGTCTCATTTTGGAAGACTGGAATTCCTCCCTACTTCTCATTCGCCCCGTTGTTTCTGAGTGTCAACGTAGCACCTTGTACGAGGAAGACAGTCGACTTACCTCAGTCTGCCCAAGAATCGTACAACAGCCTAACACTGACTTATCTGTGTGTCCCTCTCACTACCATCGATTCGATCCTGACTCTTAGTGACCCTGTGGGCCAGGGTAGAACTGCTCCTGTGGGTTTCTGAGGCTGTAAGTCTTGACAGGAGTAGAAACCCTTGCCATACTCCTGAGTATTCCCTGGTGGTTTCAAACTGCTGGCCTTGGAATGAGCACCCCAACATGTAAAGTACCTGGTGCTTACAGGGAGGGGTAAGGTAGACAAAACTCAACTTGTCTCGGTCAGGAACTTGACCTTCACCATGACCGCTTGATGTCCTGTCCCCAGGCTTCACCCCTATAGCCTGGATCCTCTTGACTCCCCAGGGGCCGTGGAAGTTCAGGGACAGAATCTTTACGGTCCATGCAGGTGACCCAGGCTTGGGTCCCAGACCATGCACCTCATGCCCAGTCTCCACCCACCTGTCAGTGGAGCTTGCTTGTGGCTATGATGCTAACGAGGTTTCAGGGGAGCTTCCCGGCTGGGACAGAGTAGGAAGAAAGGCCTGGCAGTTGACTCCTCCAAACAGCCAATGCAAACCCGATGGAGCACAATGGTCCAATCCCCTTGTGAATGAAGTCACTGCCTTTGGACTTCGTGCTTGCTACAACCTGACACAGGCACATTTTCCGGTTGATGTTCAGCCCTAGGGCCAGTCTGCATCAATCAGAGCAGGTTGTTCCCTTCGGCTAAGGTGACCAAAGAAGGGTATGGTCTAAGATCCAGGGGACAGAGGCTTCCATCAGCTCTAGCTCCATGATCCAAACTCCATGTGGGGTTGAGGAGTAGCCCTGGATGAGGGAGCATACCCCGCTGTCTTGTAGGATCGTGGGAGAGATTTCTGACATCACAGAGAACACCAGCAAGTGAGGGGTGGGCAGTGCAGGGTCTACGCCCAGCTCAAAGGAGTCAGCTGGCACAAAAGCTTAGCGGAGCAAAACCTCTCTTCACATGGCACTATACTTTCTAATCTGTTCCCAGCTCAGGCCCAGCCCCACCAATCCATCCCCTCCCCGCTCCCTGAAGTCACGTCTCGTGAGAGGCAGCGGGGTCCATGATTGAGGAAATGGATGATTGTCTTAGGATAGGCCTTAGGATAGTTCCACCTCTTGATCATAAACTCCTCTTAGTGATGTTTGGTATCCTGGACATCCATCGCCAGCCAGACACCCTCCGAGACACCCTCTGAGTCAGGGTGTGCCAAGAGGTGCAGTCGGTGGTGTTGTCGTTAGGTGCCATGGAGTCCCTCGCAACCCATAGCCACGCTAACGTGCACAGAAGGAAACACCGTTGAGTGCTGCACCATCCTCACCACCGTTCTTATGTTTGAGCCCATGGTTGCAGCCGCTGTGTCTGTCCGTCTTGTCCAGGGCCTTCCTGTTTTTCACTGCCCTTCTGCTTGAGCAAGCGTGCTGTCCCTTCTCCAGAGATAGGTCTCTCCTGAGAGCACGTCTCAACAAGAACGGGAGACGAAGTCTCGCCCTCCCTGCCCATGGAAAGCGTTCTGGCCATACTTCTTCCGGGACAGACTTGTCTGCTCCTTTGGCGGTCCCTGGTCCTTGCAAGATTCTTCGCCAGCACCACAATTCAAATGCATCCGTTCTTCTTCACGCCTCCTTATTCAACATCCAACTTTCACACGCATGCGAGGTCATTGAAAATACCACGGCTCGCGTCAGAGGTACCTAAGTCCTCAAAATAGCATCCCTGCTTTTCAAGACTTTAAAGGGATCTTGTGCAGCAGAATTACCCAAGGTAATTTTTGGACTGCTGCTCCCATGAGCGTTGGTTGTAGATCTGAACAAGAGGAAGTCCTTGACAACTTCAGTCTTTTCTCTGTTGGTGATGAGGTTACCTATTGGTCTAGTTGTGAGGATTTGGGTCGTTAGATGGAGTTGTGATCCATTCTAAAGGCTGCAATCTTTGATCGTCATCAGCAAGTACTTGAAATCCTCCTCACTTTTAGCAAGCCAGGTTGTGTCCTCTGCATATCACAGGTCATTAATAAGCCTTCCTCCAATCCCGATCCTGCATACGTCATATATTGCAGCTCCTCTGATCACTTGCTCAGCATACACCCTGAATACTACGGTGAGAGGATACAACTCTGACACACACCTCTCCAGATTTTAAACCATGCCGTATTCCCTGGTTCTGTTCGAACAACTGCCTCTTGACCCATGTACATGTTCCAAATGAGCACAATTAGTATTCTGGAATCCCCATTCTATTCAAGGCTATCCACAGTTTGTTATGACCCACACAGTCAAATCCCTCTGCATAGGCAATGAAACACAAGCAAAACATCTTTCTGGCGTTCTCTGCTTTTAGCTAAGACTCTGACATCAGCAATGACATCCCTTGTTCCAGGTCCTCTCCTGAATCCAGCCCGAGCCTCTGGCAGCTCCCTGTCAGGGTCCTGTTGCAACCATTGTTGGATAATTTTCAGCAAAATTCTACTTGCATGCAATATGAATGATATTGTTCTATACTTTGAGCATTCTGTTGAGTCACCTTTCTTTGGAAGTGGTACAATTATGGATCTCTTCCAGTCAGTTCGCCGAGTAGCTGTCTTCCAAATTTCCTGCCATAGACGACAAAGTGCTTCCAGTGATTCATCAGCCTGTTGGTATTCCAGTTCTGTCTATAGGTGTCCCTAAACCCCAGCCTTGGCTCTGAATCTAACAAAAGGGATTCCCTTCTTATTCCAGCTCCTGCCTAGTCCAGGGCGACGGTCATGAGGACCCCCATCAGCCTGGCCCGGCCACCTGTCAGCCCAGCCTGGCTTCCCAAGTGATTATTCCCGATAACGTCTGCCCCCGAAGAATGGGGAAAGTTCTGGCTTATTTCTTCTCAGCATGCTTGGATGCAAAGGACCAGCCAAGCTGGCAGTCACCTGAGAGAATCTGTGGGAATTACGGGCGGTGAGGTGGGGAAACGTGGGAGCTCTCAGTACCTGGCTTGTGCTGAGACTGAGGGATGGGAGAGGATGCTAGGGAGCAGGAGGATGAGATGGGAGCAGTAAGAGGAACCTGGGAATACTCAGCCAGCTCCCAGAATGCCTTGGCTGGCTGTGTCAGGGAGCAAACAGGGTGTGCAGCACTTTGAAACCCTAGAACTGGGAAAGGGCTCAGAGGCCACAGTTGATTCTACCGCTTTCAAGGGGGCCTGCGGCCCAGCACTGTGCCCGAAGCCACACAGGAGAGTCAGGTAGGAACTGAAGCTAAGTCCTTGAGTGTTTTTCCCTTTAAGCCAGTCCTCGCTTCACCAGTCTGTCCCCGAGCCTCAGAATCAGGCCTGGGGAGAGTGACCAAGAGGGCGATTGGGTAGAGGGGGGAACAAAGAGCAGGAATGAGATTCAGGACAGAATCATGGCCTTGGAGGCTAAGGTTAAAAAGCAGGATGGTGGGGTGGGGTGGGGTGGGATAGGATTGTTTCTGGTGAGGAATAAATAAAACGAAATCCCAGACACATAGGAGCGAGCCCAAGATTACCTCCCTTTCTCCCAGGTTCTCTCAGAAGCTTTCCGACTCAGGTTACCTGGTGCCTGGCTTCCTGAGAGGCTCCAGAAATGACCGCCGAGGGAACAAGTCAACCCACGGAGTCGCTTCTTTTGCCCCACAGGAATCTCCTACCAGAGGCTGGTGAGGGCTGAGCAGGGCCTGCCCACGAGGAGTCAGCGAAGTTCCACCATGTGAGTGTTCCTGGGAAAGGAGATGGGAGGAGGGACGGGGAAGGCCGAGAGGCCGTCTATGGGTGAAGGAGGACTCACCCTTCACTCCCTCCCCCTTCATCGCTGTATCTCCTCCCACCCTAGCCCTGGCTCTACTAGTGGTCGCCATCATGTCACTGGGGGCCATGAGTGGTTCAGTGGCAGAGTGCTCCCCTCCTATGTGAGAACATCAAGCTGAGTTCCCAGCCAATGCACCTCGGGCTGGGTTCCCGGCCAATGCACCTCGGGCTGGGTTCCCGGCCAATGCACCTTGTGCGCATCTACGTCCTGAGTCTGTCATGGAGGCTTGGGTGTTGCTCTGATGCTGAACGGGTTTCAGTGGTGCTTCCAGATTAAGAAGGACCAGGCAGAAAGGCCTGATGATCTACTTTCAAACATCAGTCAGTAAAAACCCCGTGGCTCACAATATACTCTGATCCACAACCCCTGCTAGGGATGGCATAGGATCCGGCAGGTGGCATGTGGCCTGTTGTGCTTGGGGACGTCCCAAGTTGGAGCCGGTTGGACAGCAGCTAACAGCACCACCACCTTCATGTACCTGCGCTCCGACCACAGGGTTCCTAACCGAGGTCCATGGACCAATCAGCCTCCCACGACCCCAGAAGTCACAGGGGAGATGTTGTGCGCACATTTCTTTTTCTTGCACCGAGGGTTGAGATTCTTAAAGAGGTCTGAAATGTTAAGAGAAAAAAGGATTAGCAAGCCCAACCTACCACGTCCGCAGCATCCAGTAGCTACCTTTTCTCCGTTTTGCAGATGGAAAACTGGAGACCAGAGAGGTCCAATCACTTCCCTTGCAATCCCACAGCTAATCAATGTCTGGCACCTCAGCCTGACTGGGAAGTCCAGGACCTTTCCACGTCTTTTTTTTTTTTTCCTGCCTGGTATTAAAGCAGTGCTTTCCAACTTTTTTTTTTTTTTTTTTTTTTTTGGACTGAGGCCTACAATTAAAAAAATGAAAAACAAACAAAAACCCCCAACCTTTTACCTACTAGCCTGGCACACACCTACACTTAACATCTGAAACAATGTCACGAAATGAAACTTCCCCTGATCACACAGGGTGAGCTCTGCCCCAGGCCCTTCAAGTGCTTAAAAACAAACATTGATTTCATCACCCACCAACGCTGCCCTTTGGAAAGTTCTGGAGAGAACGCCATCCATTCAGAGGCATCTAAGGCAGCTTTCCGGTCTCTGCGGGCTCAGAAATGACCATCCCCCCATCCTCTCCCTCCTAAGCCCCTGGGTTTCATGACACATCACTAAGCAAATATTCCTCCAGCTCCTTCTAGGTCAGCGGTTCTCAACCTGTGGGTTGCGACCCCTTTGGGGGTCGAACGACCCTTTCACAGGGGTCGCCTGATTCCTCACAGTAGCAAAATGACAGGTAAAGGGGAGTCTCTCAGCAGGCGCTGCTGCGCTTCTCCTTTAAGATACTTGGGTTGACTTAGCTTTGGAGTTGACTTTCTCACCGCAGGGAAGTATGGGCTACCCCTCCTCGGGGGTCTCGCTGCTCTCTCTGAGGACATCTTCCCATGCTTGTTATTTGATGGCCATGTCAACTAAGTCCACAAGGACATCAGCCTGGATGGCCCAAGGGTCCTAAATAATAAAATGCAAATCCAACAGAGGGAACGGCATCAGCGCGTGCACTGGGAACACGCGGGCGACAGTAGAAGCCCCAAATCCACATGCAGGGTCCACACACACACACAAGCAGCCCCCAGCGAAGCCCCGCTGAGGGTCGAGGGATGGGAAAAGCCTCACTGTCAGACAGGGCACCGTAAGGCAATTGAGGCAGGTGTGGTCAGATTAAAGTGTAATACTTAGTTATTTGACCTTCCTTTCGACCCATTCTAAAACGGTCTCAGTGTTTCATGGTTTACGCTTTCCTTTTTGATTGAGGGTTTTCCATGTTTTGTCTGGTCCTTGTGTTTGTTTTCTTCCTGCCTCTTTTGTGTGATTTTCTATATTTGGAATTCAGGATAGGTAGAGCTATAGAGACAGTAGCTGGATCCATGCTAGGGGGGTGGCGGGCGGTGGGGGAGTGGAGGTTGAAATGTTGGGTGGTGATGAATGCACAAATCTTCATATGATTTCATGGTTAAATTCTGTAAAGTGTGAAGTGTGTGCCATCAAGCTGTTTAAAAAGAAATACGTTTAATGAAAAGTTTAAGGTAAATTTTACTTCAAAGAATTGAATTCCATTTTGAAAAGGCCCTGATGGTAGAGTGCTTACGTATTGGGCTGCTGACCCCAAGGTCAGCAGTTCGAAACCATCAGCTGCTCCTCAGGAGAAAGATAGGGCTTTCTACTCTCATGAAACACTACAGTCTCAGAAACCCACAGGGGCAGTCCCGCCTCCTCCTACAGGGTCTCTGAGTCAGAATTGAACCTGATGGAAGTGAGTTTAGTTTTTCAGGTTTTGAAAACTTACAAGAAAAAAAGGTCAAAGGCAGACACCAAGTTTCCTCTGGGAGTTAGTGCCCTTGAACGTCACCCCACCCTACCCCTACCCTGTGTGCCTGCACACACAGGTAACCTCTCTGGGACTGAGTACCACCAGGTGTGAGGGTGCGGGCCCACGTGCTGGTGTGCTCTGTTGTCACCTCCCCCCTGTCACCCCGAAGTGTCCACAGCCTTGTCCTCTGTGCCCCCAGCACTGTGCTGTTGCTGAACCCCCTGGAGGTACAGGCTGAGTTCCTTGCCGTGGCCAACAAGCTGAGCACGCCTGGACACTCGCCTCACGGCGCCTACATCACTCTGCTCCTGCACGCCTTCCAGGCCACCTTCGGGGTCCGCTGCGACCTCCAGGGCCTGCACTGCAGGCTGCAGGTACATTCTGGGAGCCCTGGGGCCTAGCGCTGCTTTCCCCCCACAGAGCATGTCTCTGCCCTACCCCAGTGGCAGTCTCCATGGGACATGGTGGGCCACTGAGAGGGTTTCTATGTGCTGGCACCATGGGGCGCCCATGACTGGTGCCTCTGAAGATGGTTCAGGCTGGAGGGGGTAGAGGATGGGAATGAGTTTTGGGCTGAAGCTAGGAATTCCTGAGTTCTTGTCCTGGCTTACTGGTGGTCCACTCTGTGGCCCTGGGCAAGTCCCTTCCCCTCTCTGGACGGCAGGGATGAACGTTGAAGTCCTTGCTCTCAGGACCACTTTCTGGGCACAGGCAGAGGGGAAGCGAGCTGGCTCCCTGGCCATCGGGGTGGAGGTGGGCGATGAGACCTGGGAGGGCTCTGAGGACAGTGAGCTCCTCAGAGCTGGGTAAAGGTAAGTAGTCAGACCTAAGAGTAAACCCTGTCTCCTTCTGGGCTTATAGTCCAAGACCCTGGAGGAGCTGGAGGACATCTTCATGGAGACCACAGAAGCTCAGGAGCTGGCGTCTGGCGTCGGAGAGGCAGCGGAGGCCCGGCAGTGGCTCAGGACCAAGCTGCGGGCAGTGGCAGAAAAGGCTGGCTTCTCTGGCATTTTAGGTGAGGTTCTTAGGAGAGGCTCAGCCTGCCTTCCTCCGCGCCCCTTCTTGCTCCCAAGGCAAGTGGTCCAGGTTTGTCTGGCGGCTCTGCTCCACATCGTCACACAGGGACCTGGGTTCTTTAATATCTTATTGCTCCGCCATGCTCTGGAGCAAGGTTCCCATCTACAGGGCTAGGATTGGGTGGCCATCGCATTCCAACTTGTGGGAAGAGGGAAGGAGAGCATGGATAGAGGGCAAGGGGGTTGTGTAGCTCAAGAGACTGCACACCTCACTTTTGTCACGTGGCCACAGCGCTTGGTCCTCCCATCTGTACAACTCTATGACCACAGAAGGGAAACCAATGCTGGAAAGCATCTAGTGGTCCTATCACAATATTTGAGGAGCCCTGGCGGTGTAATGGTTATGTATTGAGCTGCTAACCACCAAGTCAGCAGTTCGAAACCAGCAGGCACTCTGCGGGAGAAAGATGAAGCTTTCTACTCCTGGAAAGAGTGACAGTCTCGGGAACCCACAGGGACAATTCTACCCTGTCGGGTAGAGCCACGATGAGTTTGAAGCAACTCGACGGCAGTGAGTTTGGTTGGAGTATTTTTTAATCACAATACTGAGGAACCCTGGTGGCATGATGGGTTAAACATTGGACTGCTAACCACAGGGTTGATGTTTCGAACCTCCTGGCTGCTCTGAGGGAAAAAAGATAAGGCTGTAAATCCCATACAGATGTAGTCTCATGAAACCCCAAGGAACAGTTCTAAATTAATCCTGTAGGGTCCCCCTCAGTCCAAATTGACTTGCTGGCCGTGGGTTTGGTATCACCCTAGTGAGGGAGTCCTGGTAAGTGCTGAGCTGCTGGCCCAGAAGGTGGGCGTTTCCAACCCACTAGCTGCTCTTCAGGAGAAAGATGCATCGTCGCCGTGTTTCTGTAACAGCTACAGCCCTGGATGCCCCAGGTGGCAGTTCTGCTCTGGCCTACATGGCTGCTATGAGTCAAACTTGATAGCAGCAGGTGGGGTGTGCCCTTATCACAATGCTGGTCTTTCTGGGTGATTCCAACAGTTACCACACTCAGCTGCTACACAGAAAGCTGGAGGGGCAAGGCCACCCAGAAGTGCCTCTGCAGAAAGTCCTGGCCTTCCGCTCTGGAAAGCCTGCCATTGATAATAACCCTCTGGAGCACCTTGCCACTGTGGCACCCACGGGGTGGCCATGTGGTGACATTGACTCAGGAGCAACTGGTGGTGCCAGACCACCGTTCCTCACCAAACACTGACTCGATCGCTCCATTCTCGCCCCATTTGGACATTGTCGGCGGAGCCTCAGGGGTTGTGAGTTGGCCACATGCACCCAGCTGGTCAGGGACACCAGTGGCTAGATGGTGTGCTTGAGGGAAAAATAAGCAAACCCCAAAACAAACACAGGCCATCTCATCGGGCTGGGAGCCAGGCTGCCTCATCGCTTCTCACCCAGCCCCCTGCCCCACCCACCCAGCCGTGGCCTTGTGCGGCCCCTTCTTGCTCTCAAGGAGATGGAGACTGGGCCACCAGTCTCCTCTAGGCCCCTCACTCTTGCCTCCCCTGTTCTTACAGACACTGAAAACCCGGGCAAGCTCCATACCATCCCCATCCCGGTGGCCAGGTGCTATACCTACAGCTGGAATCAGGACAGCTTTGGTAAGGAGCCACAGGGACAGCTGCCCCTGTGGGGGTTCTCAGTCCGGTCTGTAGCTCCCACTCTGGGAAAGAACCTTCCCACCTGGGCAGGCTCGAGGTCCAGCAGGGGTTTAGTGCCACACACCTGGCCTGTTTCTGTCCTCCTTCTCGTTCTCCCATCCCCCCACCCCCCCTATGATGTGTCCAAGCCGGTCCCCAGAAGGGTGAGCAAGGGAAGTCAGAGACAGGAACCCTCGGGTGACACCTCCCCCGCTTCTCGGCAGACATCCTGCAGGAGATTCTGCTCAAGGAACAGGAGTTGCTCCAGGCAGGGATGGTCAGGGATGAAGACGAGGAGGAGGAAGAGGAGGAAGGAGAAGAGGCCGAGGAGGAAGTGGACACCCGGCACTGTGTAGAGAGGGACTCCCTGCTCTCCACCAGTTCAGCGGCCTCGAGAGACTCCACTCTGTCCCTGGCCTCCTCCCAGGCCTCGGGGCCTGCCCTCTCCCGCCAGCGGCTGACCTCCTTCGTCTCGGGCCTCTCGGACGGCATGGACAGCGGCTACCTGGAGGACGAGGTGGGCTTCCCCGAATGGCCCCCGAAACCTGGCAGCCAGGACCGCAGGGCCCAGCGTCGGTCGGGACCCAAGTTCAACCGGATCTATAAACTCTTCAAGAGCACCGGCCAGCTGATGCTGCGGAAGGACTCGCGAGGCCTGGAGGGCAGCGGGGACGACACCGGGCTCCCGCTGCGCCGTGCTGGGAGCCTCTGCAGCCCCCTGGACAGCCCGGGCCCGCCGCCCTCCCGGCCCCAGCGCTCCCGCTCCCTGCCCCAGGCCAAGCTCAGTGCCCAGCTGCCCAGCTGGCTCCTGGCCCCCGCCTCCCGCCACCAGCGCCGCAGGCCCTTCCTCAGCGGGGACGAGGACCCCAGGGCCTCCACGCTCCGGGTGGTGGTCTTTGGCTCTGATCGGATTTCGGGCAAAGTGGCCCGGGCGTACAGCAACCTGCGGTAAGAGCCGCGGGCGGTGGGGCGCCCGGGCGGGGCACCTCGGAGACCTGGCGTCTCACCATGCCCCTCTGCCCGTGCCAGGCGGCTGGAGAACAATCGCCCGCTGCTCACCCGCTTCTTCAAGCTGCAGTTCTTCTACGTGCCGGTGAAGCGGGGCCACGCGACCACACCCAGCGCCTGCCCGGCCCCTCGGAGCCAGACGCCCCCACCCCCCACCGACTCCCCGCGGCACCCCAGCCCCGCAGTAGGTCCCAAGGTCAGATCCAAATAGGTGGCCAAGTAGGGTGGACCTAAGTGGGCTCCCGTTACCGGAAGGGGCAGTCACCAATCACCTATGCTTATGGGGCCTGGGGCCCTGCGAGCTGTTAACCAGCTTGGTTGCTAGCCAACCGGCTGGAAGTTCAAGTCTACCCAGAGGCACCTCGGGAGAGAGCCCCGACCATCCCTTTCTAGGGAAGCAGCCCCTGACAGCCCGGTGCAGCACAGTTCTGCCCTGACACACCAGGGGGCATCGTGAGGCCGTTGCCTGGAGGCAAGTGGTGGGGCTTTAGTATGCTTTCTGCACGGGCCAAAGGACCAGCCTGGCGCTGTTGCTTAGGCACCGGGCTGCCAAGGTGAATTCATACCCACAGCTTCCCTTCAGGAGGAAGATGAGGGTGTTGGTTCCGGTAAAGATTTCGCCTGGGGAACTGTAGGGTCACTAGAGATTGGAATGGACGCCACATCAGTGGCTTCTTTGGGTCTATGCCTGGCCCTGGCTCCCACGTGTGGCCCCCTTTCCTCCAGCGCTGCCCTGGGCTGGGACATATACTAAAAGTGGTCAGCCCTTTCCAAAAGCAAGAGAAGCTTAGACTAGGACAGAGTGGCTGCCCGGGTCCTGAGCCTGTCTGTGCTGGGCAGGCCTTTGGCACCTGGAAGGGACCCTTCCTCTTGTCCCAGCAGCTGGGCTCCGTGCCCTGGGAGGACAGCACCAACGATATCTCCCACTACCTCGGTATGCTCGACCCCTGGTACGAGCGCAACGTGCTGGGCCTCATGCACCTGCCCACAGAAGTCCTGTGCCAGGTAAGTGGTGCTGGGTGCGGGGGGCAGAGGGGCTCACTGGCTGAGGGCACTGGCCTCATTTAGCTAGAAGACCTGGGGCTTGGGGTATCCAGCTGGAGGCCCCCCTAGGGGGCCAGGCCTTACTTGAAAACGATCAGGGAGGGGAGGTTAGGGGCAGGGCCAAATCTGAACTCAAGAGAGGGTGGGGCAAGGGCTGGGGGCGTGTCCATCATAGGGGAGGGGCCTCCAAAGTGCGTGGCCTGACCCGGGTTCCAGGGACCTTCGTTTAGCCACCTTCCTCAATTCCTCGGAGGCCTGCCCCTCGCATGAGGAAGGGGGGCGGGGGGCAGAGGGAGGGGAGTGCTGCCATTCTGTTTCTCCAGTCCACCTGCCCATCTCCCCCGACCCTGGTGGTAGACCTCTGCATGGCTCATCGTGCCGGCTCCCTTACTTCCCCTTGTGCAAGTCTCATCCACCTGCATGGCCGCCTCTCTGCTTCCCTCTTCTTGCCCTCGCTCTCATTCGCCCCTGTCTCACCACGACCACCACTCACCACCCCCTCCCCGCCCGCCAGCAGTCCCTGAAGCCTGAGTCACAGCCCCTGGCCGGCTCCCCAGCCCAGCTGCCCATCCTGGCCGACATGCTGCTTTATTACTGCCGCTTCGCCGCCCGCCCGGTGCTGCTGCAGGTCTACCAGACAGAGGTACGTCTGTCCACCCACCTACCCACCCCAAGCACCTCCTCGCCCAGCTCCCCAGAGCTCTCAGTGGCCCTGGCAGGCTCTGCGGGACCCACCGGCCTCCTGCAGCCCTGCACCGGCCTCGGAGCAGCCTGGTGGGCAGGCCTGGGGAGGGGGTGGTCCACAGTGGTGCCTGTGGCTCTCTCCAGCTGACCTTCATCACCGGGGAGAAGACCACGGAGATCTTCATCCAGTCCCTGGAGCTGGGTCACTCGGCTGCCACCCGGGCCATCAAGGCTTCTGGTGAGCACTGGGGAGCCCAGATGCAGGCACAAGGGGGGTCCGGGGGAGGGGGGAAGGGGAGGGGCAGGGTGACCTGATCTGTGTGGGGATGGACAAAGTGAGAGGGTGTGTGAAGGGTCTCTTGGTTATGGTACAGGTCCTGGCAGTAAGCGACTGGGTATTGATGGCGACCGGGAGGCCATCCCGCTAACACTACAGATTATTTACAGCAAGGTAAGTGTGGGGCGAGGCCCTGGCCCTCTGCTGACGGAGACCCCAGCCCTGATGACCTTGGGCCCTGTCTTTAAGCTGGGAGGTGACAGCGGGCTCGCCGGACCCCCTTGGATGCTGAGGGAAGCGAGCTGTGCCCTCTCCCACCACCTCTGTGCTCCTAGCAGCTTCCAAGTGACTTGCTCGGGGGCCTGAGGGGCCTAGCTCTAGGACTAGGGGTGAGCGTGGAGCCAGGTGGGACTTCTAGAGCCAGCATGAGGGAGAGGCCAGGGTTTGTGGGGCCACTGTGTCGGCTGGGTGCATGTCGGCCTGTGTTCACAGATGAGAGAGCTTCTTTTCTGTCTTCTTTCCTCCAGCCATTCAAAATATCTTTATTGGTGATGCTGTGGGTTAGGCATTGGGCTGCTCACTGCACTGTCGGTGGTTCAAATCCACCAGCCGCCCCACGAGAGAACGATGAGGCTGTCAGCTCCTGTAAAGACTCGCAGTCTTGAAAACCCTATATCGGGTTGTTATAAAGTTGAATCGACTTGGTGTCAGTGGGTTTCACGCAGCGCTCGCTTCTGGGAAAAGGAAAGAGAAGACAGTAGGGTGTAGGGGGAGGTTAGGGCCCCCCATTTCACTCTGCTAGAAGAGGAAGCCCTGGTGGCATAGAGGGTTGCACGTTGGGCTACGAACCTCAAGGCCAGCAGTTCAAACCCATCGGAAAGCCGAGGCTTTCTGCTCCCATAAAGAGTCACAGAAACCCACAGGCACAGTTCTGCTGTGCCCTATAAGGTTGCTGTGACTTGGAACCAGCTCAGCGGCAGTGAGAGCTGGGAGACAGACACGGAACAAGTGAACAAGGAAACAGTCCCTTTACAACACGCCACATGAGGCCAAGCAACTAAGAGAGCTGCTACAGAGACGCCGGCTCCAGGAAATCTGCAGTGGGAAGTCAGCAGGAGGGGCCAGCGTACCCTGGGCGCTGACTGGGTGCCACCTACTGTGCCCCCACGCTGTTCCACGCACAGGAGTGAGTAAAGAATGAGCATAGACCCAAGAGACTGGTAGGGTGGTTAGTCATGGGCCGGTGGGGTCCACATCCTATAAAAGCACAACAGTGACAAACAGCACGTGCAGGACCGTAGGAATCCCTGCGGGACGGATCCATCTCCAGAGTCAGGGAAGCTGGAGAAGGCCTCTTTGAGAGGAGACCTGGAGCTGATGTGTGAAAGACGGGGTGTTCGTGAACCTGAAAGAGAGCCATAGACTCTCTCAACGTAAAACAAAAAAACCTCGCTGCCGTCCAGTCAATTCCATCTCACGCCTACCCTACAGGACCGGTAGAACCGCCACTGTGGGTTTCCAAGACGGTAGCTCTTTACCGGAACTGAAAGCCTCGTCTGTCTCTGGTTTTGCATGGCTGACCCTGCAGTTCACAGCCCAGCATGTGCAAAGGCCCTGTGGTGTGGGGGAATGTGCACCTCCAATGGCAGTGAAAGACGGGCAGAGAATCGAGTGGGCACGTGAGGATGTAAAGGAAACCCAACTCGCTGCCATCGAGCCAGTGCCACCCCCTGTGGGTTACCCACACCCCCTGTGGGTTAGCCACCCCTGTGGGCTTCTGAGAGGGTCCCCGTTTATGAAAGTAGAAAGCCTAGTCTTGCTACTGTGGAGCTGCTGACCATGCGGGTCGTAGGCCAACGCATGACCACTACACCCCCAGAGTGCCCCCAAGAAATAGGCGCATCCAGAATACCAAGGGCAACAAGGGGGATCTTGGTTTAAGAGCAATGGATATCCTGGAAGGGGTTCCTGTGTGGGGTGGGGTTGAAGGGGCATGGCATAGTCAGGGTCAAGGTTTGGTAGGCATCCTTTGTGGAGAAGAGATGGGAGGGGTCCACGAGCCTGGTGGGAAGGCCCATGAGGAGGGTGGTGTGCCAGGAAAGAAATGGGGCAGCTGCAGTCGGATAAGGGTGCCAGGCAACCACTCCCTGTCCTCAAGGCAATGCTGACTCATAGTGACCCTATAGGATGGGGTAGAGCTGCACCTTTGGGTTTCTGAGACAGGCGGGCGGGGGTGGTGGTAGGGTGGTGGTGGTGGTGCTATTTCCGGGAGTGGAAAGCCTCATCTTTCTCCTGTGGAGCCGCTGGTGGTTTTGAAGTGCAGACCTGGCGTTAGCAATCCAACGTGTCACCCTCACACCACGAGGGCTCCTAATGAGAGCGGGAGTCTGTCTGTGGATTATCTGTGCCGCATGCTTAGCAATAGTTTAGGAAAAGCGAGGATTTCATCTTCTGCCACCGGCGGTCCTGTTCCCTGACTTAGGGGCACCAGCGAGGCCCGGGGTTGGTGGTGGAAGACCAGTGTTGAGCCTGAGGTGTCCCCAGGAGACGTGTGGGGAGAAAGACAGGAGTAGGCATTTGCATGTGTGGACCTGAACTCTGAGGTGAAACAAGGCGATTGGGGCATAGGTGGTCATGGAAGAGGAAGGTGGATGGGATTTCCTAATGGAGAGCAGCCTGGAATAAAGAGAACAGAGGCCCTGACAGAAAGCCTTGGGGACTCTCATGATATTATGGTGGCCGGGGGTGTTGGGGATCCCACAGGGCAGAGAAACAGCAGCCAGAGAGGTGGTGAGAAACCAGCAGTGCACCACACCGAAGGCCCAGGAGTTCTGGACCACGCCCCTACCCCCACCCCGCACCCCACCCCCGCCAACTCTCAAGCCACCACAGCCCAGCCCTCCCACAGGGGTTCATGAGAGCCCACCCTCTCCTGGCGGGCCTGGAGCCTCCTCGCTTTGGAGAAGGTGCAAGTGCGGGGGCTTCTGGACAGGGGGCTTCGCTGCACTTTCAGGGCGCCATCAGTGGCCGGAGCCGCTGGTGCAACATGGACAAGGTCTGCACGTCCGTCAACCTCAGCAAGGCCTGCCGGAAGCAAGAAGAGCTAGGTGAGCGGGCGGGCAACGGGGCTGGTGATCTAGAGAGTTCAGAGCCTGGCCTAAGCCCACCTTGCCCCTCAGACTCCGGCGTGGAAACCTTGACACTGACCCTGACTGAGGTGGTAAAGAGACAGAACTCCAAATCCAAGAAAGGCTTCAACCAGGTGAGTGCTTTGCTCCCCTTCCAGGTACACCCCCGCAGATGTGTGTGTGTGTGTGTGTGTGTGTGTGTGTACATACCACAGGAGATGCCCTGGAGTGTGTGTGTG